TCCTAATGAATATATTATTTTATAATGCACATTTGTTGGACCAGATTTCTGATTTTCCTTCTGAAGTTAGGGAAGAACTGAGCTTCCTAAGGGTACTGGTAATGTTGCTTGCTTTGGGGTCACACGGGGCAGGGTAATGAAATGTGAAATGTGTTGCGGCATTGTGTGGACTCAGAGCTGGCCTCAGAGCCCACTTGCTTGCCTCTCCAGAGCTGCTGCCTTCATGGCCCTATTAGCTCTTAGCTGACTGTCAGCTAAATTCTAGTCGAGCTGGCTAAAAATGGCTAAAAATGTATACTTTTTGGGGTGTGTTTGTATGGTAGTAGTAGAATCTTAGAAGCCTAAGGGATGAATCTCCAATGATGGGATATCAAGGAGCCTGACAAGAAAGCTAGTGATTCCTTCTCCAAAGTTACGGGAATCTTCTAGATTGAAAGCATCTCCACATATCACACTAAACCTTCTTGCCAATTTCATGTGATTCCGCTTATTACATTATCTTACTTGTTCTGTACAGCAGTCTTCAGACAAAAGCAGGAAAAGGCTCAGAGAAAATGACTTGGCCTAGACCACACACAAGGGGGAAGAGGGCATCTAGAATCCAAGTCGTATGGTATTAAGTTCTGTTTGTTTCCTTACGCAGATTGTGGCAGAAGCATCTTAAAACCCTCTTCATGGTGTGTCCGACCCTGCCCCCTCCACTGTCTCCCTCCCCTCCCCCACACCCCTTCTCTTTGCCTCATTTTTCATTTTTTGCCTCTTTATCCTCTGGGTGTCCTGGCCCCATCTTCTGACACATTAGCTAGTGATCCCATCATCTTGAAAGAGGAGTGGGGTGTTTCCCCCCTGGAGCTACTGTTTAATTTGTCAGCCTCCTTTATCCTGAGCCCACTGTGATGGCTGGACTTTATAATAGACCTAGAGCTTTCGCTCTGGCCTCAGCCCCAAATACATTAAATAATTAACTTCCAGCACTCTCCTGTGTGTGCCTTATCTCCGCATCATCCAAAATAGCCGATGGCATTTCCTCTGCATCAATAGAAAGCAGAAAGGTCAATTGGTGTTCGTGAAATAAAGATATATATTTTACAAAGCAGCAAGGTAGCAGGGTTCCTTTATTCTCTCATACCTGTGACTACTTCTTAACAAACACCTTCTGACTTCTTTAATCTCCAGCCAGTTTCCACCCACCATCTTGCAGTTTGGTTAGTGGTTAATACCAACCTGGGAGTCACCCCAAATCCAGACTGAGTCTGACTGAAGGAGAAAGTACTTTCCCAATAGTAATAATACAAAGGTACTTTCTTCTAGTCACCTTAAATCCTGCACCACTGCCCTCACTCCCAGTAAACCAAATGAAAAGTGAACCTGAATGAGTTTCTTTTATAAGGCATGGAGTCATGATCCAGGATGGATTTCCCACTCTCTCCCCCCCCCACCCCAGCTTTCTCTTTTTGAAAGCTGATATAATGTATAGCATAAATCTCAGGAGGATAAGATGTTTTCAGTCTGGACCTGTCTTTCTAAACATTGTGGGGGGCCAGGATATACCACCCCCAGAATAAGCCGTTTTGGCATAAGGATTATTTTGAGCTGAAAGCGAGTGAGAAACAGCAGATGCAGGAAAAGCTTTGTGCCTTCCCCTTCCTGCCTAAAACCATACATTTCCTAGGAGAAAAGTGCCCTCCCTGAGCCAGAAAAGCCCGTTCTTATCATTGGAGATGGCGTGTCAACCCTGAGAAGGATCTGTACAAACAAACCTACTAAAATGACCTTTATCTTCCATTAGTTTCCCCCCTATATTTCCTCGTTACTGTCCCACAATTTGCCTCCCTTAGGAGCTTAAATCCCCTCCTTTGTCTTGTTACTTCTCTACAAATTTATTTCTCTTGTCAAAATGGTATATAAGCTCTCAGAGCTTTGAGGTTTTCACTTCTTCCTGGAAAGCCCCCTTCTGCCATGTAAAAATATTAACATCAAATAAAATTTGTATGCTTTTTCTGCTATCGATCTGGGTTTTTTTTGTCAGTTCAACTTGTAGGCCCCAGCCACAGAGCCTATAGGCTAGAGCTGTGACCCTAACAACATGTTCTTAAACCCAGGCTACTGTTCCCTGGGCACATTCATCGGTGAGAGATGGTAGAGGCTACTTGAAATCTGGCTATTTCTTATTCTGACCCAGCAACTCACACAAGTATTCTGTTCTGATGTTATGAAAACCATTAGTAAAAAGATTCTGAAACTTTTATTAACTTGTATAAGTTGCTACTACTGTCTCCTTCTTCTAGATCCATTTGAAATCAGGTTGGTCATAAAAGGACACGGGAGCTTCGAGGAGCTCTTCTCGGGGGTGAGTTCTCCTCCCTGTTACCATGATGGCAATGTCCCGGGTTTCCCAGGGCAAACCTGATCTTCAGTGTTCTATGCTAGCAATGGCCACAGGTTCTGGATTTTGGCTTGAACAACATATCAAGTTCAGAATTCTGCAAAGTCTCAGATTCTGCCTCCAGGAAGGAGCCCGTGCTTGAGGCCTATTTTTCCTGTCCCAGACACAGGAGCTGTGAGATAAGCAACATGATTGTCACCTGCCAACCAGGAACAACTGCACAGCATGCAGGGGTGGGGATGGGCACCATCAGCTCTGGGAAGAGGCGGAGTGAAGATCTGTGCCGGCCCCAACACCCCTCCAGAGTGTGAAGTTGGGAGTTGAGGGAACACAGAGGAGTGATGTTCACAAGCCCTTGAGCATGGCAGAGGTCCACTTAGGTACCCTGTGGTTCGTTTGGCTGCTGGGCAGAGGTGGGAATGAGACCTAGAGCACAGTGGCCGTGCTCCCTTGTCCTTGAACTGACCCCATCAGATTCCCCAAAGCCTAGTCACACTTTGACCTTTTCTCTCCCAAACGCTGCCTCTTCAGAGTATTCACTGTGGGGCATCTGAAGTGTTTGGGCCCTCCTTCCCAGTCCTCACACGACCTTCAGAAATGTTCGTGAGATGAATTAGCCCCAAGGAGAGCAGGCCAGAGTGCTGCTCCAAATAAAGACAGGGGACACAACAGGAAGAAGGGTCTGACTGTGGTTCTCACACCAGGAGTGTCAACATCACCTGGCAACTTATGAGAAATGCAAATTCTCAGCGTCCACCCAGACCTACTGAATCAGAAATGCTGGGGGTGGGCCCTGTCATCTGTGTTTTAATAAGCCCTCCTGGTGATCCTGATGCTCAAATTTGAGAAACACTGACTAGTCTAAAAGGCATTGCATCGTGCTGGGGGCGCGGCATGTGGACAACAGGTGGGTAAGGCCACAGGCCTCTCTGCCTCAGTTTCTTCAACTGTTAGCAGAGGCCGGACACTGAACCCTATATAATCTGTGCATCAGATTCACCAGGTAGTTATGTAACAGAGATGTGCTTGGGCCATGTACCTACCCAGAGAAAGGAGGGGGTGGGGCTGGAGATGGCCAAAGGTTCTCTGTTTGACTGAAATTCAGACAGGCTCCTCTGAGCACTCTTTTGGCTAGGCCTCCACCTGGGCCCTATCTTCAGGCTGCTGAGTCCAGCTGAGCAGGAATCCTGTCAAGTCAGTTTATTGAGAATCACCACCCTTGATATCTGATCACCCCGGCCTGTCTTCAGCAAGAGTCCTGTTAAGTCAATGTGACAAAAGTTTCCCCTACTCTAGATGTCTTCTCCTAGTAACTTCATATCCCCAGAGTCCTGCTGTGCCCCATCCCATCCCTGGTTATAAATCTCCAGCTTTCTGTGCTATGTTTGGAGTTGAGCCCTGTCTCTCTCCCCTATTGCAATAGTTCTGAATAAAGTCTTCTCTACTGTTTTGACAAGTGTCAGAATAATTCTCTAACACTATGTTTACACATGTGCATGTTTCAGAAGCTCCTCAAGCAAGTCTGATGTAGCCTCTTGGTTGAAAACCCACATGCGTAGCGGTTAAGAGCATGGGTGGTGGCATCAGAGAGACCTGGGGTGACAGCTCAGCTCAGGTCTGGTAACTGAGTAAATAAGCACATCAGCTAAAAGAGGGGGACAATGTCTCCTCTCTCTCCCCGTCTCTCTCATCAGTGAAAAGATCCAGTGACGTAGGTCCTTAAACTTGTAAGCTCAGAGCACAGCACTGGCATGTGACAGGCACCAAATAAATCCAATGTTAGCTGCTCTGGGGAATAATTATTACATAGATGTGTTACATTCATCAATATACTTCTAGATAAGGAAAAGATAAAATAGGTGATTTACTTTATAACCATGGGAAATATATTTATTAGAATAAATGTCTTTAATACTCCATGGATGAGCTTGGAGAATAAATCACAGAAGAGAATTGCTTTTTGGATTTTTAGTCCAGGTCCTTATATATATGCACATCTTGCTTGTTAGCCAGGAAAGGGCAAAAGTGGACCCAAAATGGGTCACCTGAAACAAATATTTGTGACTCCTGGTTAGCAGCTCCGTGTGTTGGAGGCCAGTGTTCAGCGACCTTCAGGAGCCAGCTGGCCACAGAGCACTGTGACTCAAAGCAGACAGGCACCGAGCCTGTCCCCAGGTGGAAATGGTAAAGAGTAGATGATTCTCCAGGCCATCACGGGGAGGTCCAACCCTCTGGAAGCCCTGAGGGCACGAGTGCGGGAATGCTGTTCAGGAAGCCACGCTTGGTCCAGAAGCTCACCTCAGAGTGTAGACCAAACACCAACTGGCCTGGGGTTCCAGGTACAGGCAGATATGTTTACTACTCTCTAAAGGACTCCCTCCTCTTGACAAGGAATTGAAAGTAGAGATGGTAGCTCCAGCTACGTACTCATTTCCCATAACGGAGTCCAGCTATGGGCTGAATGGATTTGTCCCCTTGAACTTGCTTGCTTTTGGCAGTTGTTGGTGTGGGTTCCAGAGTGTGGGCCCTTTACCCATTGTGATCAGCAACTGCTCCTCAAAGTACAGGAGCTGGTCAACTTCAAAACAGTCACCGGCATGAGGCACCACTTTTTCTAGAGCTGCCCGGATCTCGGCTTCGCTGGCATTCTGGTGCCTTGCTCTCTTGAGGTAGTTATAGACCTCCTCAAACACTTGTGCTCCCAGCTTCTGCATGGCTGATCTGCCATACAAGTCAGAAGAGGTAGAAAAGAGTTATGCATTCAAATCGCCCACAAGAAACGTCTTTTTAAATCATTAATTACACAGATCACATTGTGGCTCTGAGATTAGAAATAAAGGGAAAAAATAAGACGTGATGGCTCTACTGTGAACATTCAATAGTGTTCAAGAGACCCTTCTTGAATGTCTATTATACAACAGGTGCCTTCTAGGAACTCGGAATACGACATTGGACACATTAGGTAAATTCCTGACTTCGTAGAGCTTCCCTTTTAGGGAGAGAAAAAGCAGAGAAATTAAAAAATACACATGCAATAAAATATCAGGCAGCGCTATGTGCACTGAAGAACAATAAAGCCAGGTGATAGGGAGAGAGAGAGACAGACAGACAGACAGACAGGCGAGGAGCTGGCCAGTCCCCTGTGAAGAGGTGTCATTTGAGCAGAGACCCACATGAAGTGAGGCCAATACTGGGGGGAGAGAACTGGGGCCCTGAGGCTGAAACATGTTGGAGAAATATCGAGAAGGCTGGTGTGGCTTGTCAGGAGAACAAGGGGGAAGAGGAGAGTGGGATATGAAGTCAGAAAGCCCATTACTAACATTAATAACATTAATGAGAGCAATATAATAACAATGAGGAGGAAGAGGCAAAGGAAGGGTAGGCACTTTCCTATGCACTTAACCTTTACAACAGCTCTGGAAGGAGGCATTTTTAAAGTCCCCTCCCCCCCTTTTAATCAAAAACATTTTTTAATGTTTATTTATTTTTGAAGGAGAGAGAGACAGACAATGAGCCAGGGAGGGGCAGAGAGCCAGGGAGACACAGAATCCAAAGCAGGCTCCAGGCTCTGAGCTGCCAGCATAGAGCCCAATGGAGGGCTCGAACTGACAGACCATGAGATCATGACCTGAACTGAAGTCGGACACTTAACCGACTGAGCCACCCAGGTGCCCCTCGCCCCCCTTTTTTTTACAGATGGAGAAAATGAGGCTTAAAGGGGTGAGGGCATTTGGCCAAATTCCCACCAAGACTCATGTTTGTATTTCTGTGCTCAACTCCGGCCCTTGTCCTTTCGTGGCCACAATCTGGGCATCATCATAATAATGTCACACCTGCTACCTTTATTTTGCCTGCGTTTCCGTCGACCTCCAGCTAGGGTCACAGACTAAAGGCCTGTGAGCAAAACTAGGCCCAGGGCATGTTTTGTTTGATCAGCACTATGCTTTACGTTCTTCTGGTTTGTTATTATTTTTTAGCCTTTTAATGTGGAAGTCTAGGCACGGCCTGTGCTCCCCATTCTCCATTTCTTTACTGTCCTGTGCCCACCTTCCTCATATCATTTTAAAACAGGCTGCTTCTCATGTTTCACTGACCCGCCTGACTCAAGGGCATTCAAGTTTTATGAATTTCACTCTATGGTTCAAAACTGTCATTTTTAATGCCTCCATACTGTTACACTGAATTTATGTGCCGACTTTTACCTAGTCATTCTTCCACCAAAAATTTAGTGTTTTTCACTGTAACACTGAGTGAACATCCTTAGGAACAAAGCTTTTTCATCCAGGGGAATATTTGCAGGCATCACATTTCTAGGAGTGAGGCTAATTACAGGAGTGTGTTCCCTCTGTGAAGAGTCATATGGGCATTTGTGATTTCTGTACTTTTCTGTATATACGTTGGGTTGGATTCAAGGATTTGAAAAAGTTTGTGAGAATGGAATTATTAGGTAAAAATGTATAAATTTTCTTATGACTTTAACCTTAAGAGATGCTTCTTTATTCTTCATTTCAGTGGATTTGGTGAAATGAAAAGTCAGAGTTTTTGGGGTATTTTTTTCCTAGAATTTTCAAAGCATTACTGCTAGACAGTGCTGATGGTGATGCTGACAGTAACCACTGAAGGCATTAGTCACAGGCTCTAATTCATTTTATAAGCTGTTATTGATCAGTACTATTCAACACTGCAATCTCCAGAACACAAGCCAAAGGTATTGTGGCAGACAAATGTATCTAGTTTAGAGGCTAGAAATTATAATGTTACGACACATACATTTTAAATTTTAACTTACTTTTAAACGGTACTTTAGAGTTTGTAAAATACTTTTACATTCATTATTTCAAATGATCCTTGTGAACAAGGCAAGTCATTGAACATCTATCTCTATTTGATGGATGAGAATAAGTAGGTTGGCTTTTGCAAACTCACACAGCTAGTGGCTAATGGGGCTTAAACTCAGACACAGGTCCTGTAATTCCAAGTGCTGGGGGGATCCGCAGCCCTAAGGCCCTGGGCTGTCCGGCTTGAATCAATTTCCCACCTTCTGCCTGGAGATTATCAGGACCCATCCCAGGATGCCTCACATCCCTAGTCACCTCATTCACCGCTAGAAACCCAAGTTTGCCTCTTGCTGACATTTAGCAAACCCTGTCACTCCCCCCTTCCGTGCATAGATGACTTCGGTGACCCGCCCTCTTTCTCCCATACCCTACCCCTCTCACCATTCTTGTGGTATCATTATTCTTGGTCTCTCTGACTTTGGCCGTTCTCATATCCAATTACCGTTTTCTTTACCCTCCTCAGTTGTCCACCCCCATAATCATTCCCTTGACCTCCTTGGCACCAATAAACCATCTCTTTACACTCTTCCACCATACTTACTCCAGCTCTTCTACTTCATGGTCACCTGCAGTCTTTCGGCCTGTCACCTAACACCCTTGACTCTTTCACTCCCCTCTTCCTTTGTCAGACTCCTCTAGCAAAGCTGTAAGTTAAATCCAGACATCTACTTACTTATGCCTGTACCTCAACAAAAACATTCCAGGAGAGAAATATCCAATTCTCCAAAAGGTCCCAAATAATTACTGATCATAATTCAAAATGGCCCACATCACTGCCCATGATTCTACTATACTTCTCTGGTATTCTTATTTTCCATGGCTCAAAGTAACTATTTCACACCTTCTTTATTCTACAACTTGCTAAGTCCCACCAGGTGATGACTTTACCTAATATCCCATTGAGAAAATAGAAATGAACACATAGAGATTCCTCATCTTCTCAGTGCCCAAATTACCCACCTCCCTGAATCCATCACCACTTACTTGGCCTTCCCTCTGTCCCTAGTGAAGGGACCATCCATGCTCCTGTAAAAGACCATCCTCTCTCTGAGTGCTTTGGATCTCAGCCTCTGTCACCATCCCAGTGACCTTCCCTCCAACAGCTATCTTCTTTCTTTTCCTTCTCCTCTATTTCTACGTCTACTGGAGCATACATATCAGGACAGAATATGATCTAATGCCCCATTTTAAACAAGAAGCTTCTAGGGCACCTGGGTGGCTTAGTCAGTTAAGTGGCTGACTTCAGCTCAGGTCATGATTTCACGGTTTGTAGGTTTGAGCCCTGCATCAGGCTCTGTGCTGACAGCTGAGCCTGGAGCCTGCTTCAGATTCTGTGTCTCCCTCTCTCTCTGCCCCTCCATTGCTCATGCTCTGTGTCTCTATCTCAAAAAAATAAACATTAAAAAATTTTAAACAAGAAGCTTCTCTTGACCTCCACACTCAATCAGTTCACTTGCTTCCTGATCTATCACTTTGACCTCCATTGCTAGCAAAGCTTCTTGAAAGGGTTGCGTGTGGCTGCTGTTTCTACTTTCTGACTGCACACTCTTAGTCTACTCCTCTTGGGCCTTAGTCCTTCTTCCTTTCATAAACTACTCTTGTAATGACCTTCACGTGGCCAATTCCCCTGGCATCTTTGTATGTATCTTGACATCTCAGTGCATTCAACAGCTGACTGCTCTCTTCTGTAGACCCTTCCTTCTGTTGCTTTTGGTGACACTGCCTTCACCAGGAGTTTTTCCTATCATGCTGTCTGCTTCTTTTTAGCCTCTTTGGCCTTTAGCCTCTTCCTCCTCTACATTTCAGAGTCTTTAATACCATTTATAGACCGAGGACTTCCGGTATGTCCACCCTGTCCTTCACCTACAACTCCAGGCTTGTGAATCAACTGCCCAGTTGGTACCACCAACTGGATATCTACAGGGTATTTCACTCAACCTCAATATGGTGACAAAAAGAACTCTTAATTATAAGTAAAATGCTATGAAATTTGGGAAAATAAAACCCCCCATGGAGGAGGAGAAGACACCATCTCACTTGGGCCATAACAGGTGGAGGGAAGCCAGGTGGCAGCGAATAGTGGGAGTGCTGGCAAACCAGTGAGTCAGTTTGGCATGTGAGAAGGGCGTGTGAAGAAGTGTGAGAACCAGATGACCATAACAAATGTTAAAGGAACTTTAGAATCTGACCAGTAATTTCACCTGTTGATGAGAAAGAAGCCCCAAAATGTCCCCTGAAACCACAATTAACAGTTTCTGAATCTTCTCTATGTGCCAGGATCTATTCTGAGCATCTCCTCAGACCATCCCATTAAATCCTATGGATATGATATTGTTATTTCCATTTTACAGACGAGGAAATTGAGATATAAGAGGATATCGAATAACTTGCCCACTGTCACATAATTTTTAAGAGTGGAGCTGGGACATGAATTGCAGTAATTTCTCTCCAGGGCTCACTTTTCATCACTGTGGATTCAGAGACCCTGGAGTTGAATATTGACTCTACCTGTCACTGGCCATGTGATTTGGGGCCACCTCTCTGAGCCTTGAATTTTCATATTTAAGTGCATATTACACACATGCACACGTGCACACACAGACACACATATCTTAGCATAGTACCTGTCACCTACCACATGCTTATTAGCCATTGTTTTATTACCACAAACATTACCATTGCTTTCCTGATGGTGGATTGCACCATAGTCCGATTTCAGTTTAACTGCAAACTTTAAGCAGTTTTGTAGTTTTACCCCTGGTTAAGACACTATTTTAAATATTTTTATCTTCTCCGAATGAATTTGGAAGAAAAAAAAAAGACACAAGAGAGCCAGTGGCAGAGTGGAAGTAAAA